CAATGTTGTTGGAGTTAAGTAGGGCTACAGAAAACACCGCTGCCTCAGCTGCAGCCTTCACCAACATTATGTACTGCTTATGCTCATAGTGGCCCTTATACACCCAACAACAACAACAGAACACCTGTCATTACAAATATAATGACTTATTGTACTCATTCTAGAGTATATGTCATGTTTCTATAATATTAATATTGTTTATTATGTCATATTAGTTGAACTGTGATAGATTAATAAGCCGTAGAGTTGATATTAGTGTCATATTCTCCAACAATAAACTCGTCTCCCTCTCCCCTCTGCCTGGTCTAACATACACCAACAAGTCTTTTCAGTAAAGGTAAGTGTGATGTTAAATGTTCATTTATACATTTTATTAGTGCTTTATATTTATTTGTAATTTTTTCTGCATGTAAATCTATATTTAACCCATAAACAGTCCAAATGTATATACATGTATACGTTCACTACCCTAGTGCCCCGAATATTTTGAAAAATAATTTTTTTTTTTAGAAAAATAAAGAGCACATTTTTCGAAGCGTTATAGGATAAAAACAAAAAATTAGGGTCAGTACTTACAGAGATATGAGGCCAAGAAGTTGGCACCGAATGCTCATGTGACAGCAACATGGAGTCCTGCCGCTTGCAGAAGTGTTGCCGATATACCTTTTTTCTATTTTTCATATTATTTTATATAATTTTTATGTCCTGATAATTACAATTTATAGTAGTTCTTGTCATTTCATAACCAATCTTTGTTCTGACACTAGTATTAGGTACTGAAATTGTACTCAAATTGTCACAAACAAATTGACAGGTGGACATTTACACCTGCCATAGTTATTTACTATTGTCTTGGAATATATACAAAGTATTTATAGGTCCCAGAAATGTTTTGGATATGTGAAAGTATATAATAATAATAATAATAATAATAATAATAATAATAATAATAATAATAATAATAATAATAATTAGAAGAAGAAAAAGAAAATAATAATAATAATAATAATAATAATAATAATAATAATAATAATAATAATAATAATACATAATAATAAGGTCCCATGAAGCATGTAAAACAAGCCTCAGTCCACCCCTGACATTGAAGTGATAAGATGAGATAACATTAGATAGAAGTTGACATTTGATGAGTGTCAGCCCTCGCTTTGTTAATGTTGCAGTTTAAAAACTGTAGTGTATAGCACCCTTCTGGCAAGACAGTGATGGAGTGAATGATGGTGAAAGTTTTTCTTTTTTGGGCCACCCTGCCTTCCATACCCCCGGCCGGGATTGAACCCGCGGTCATAGAGTCTCAAAACTCCAGCCCGTCGCGTTAGCCACTAGACCAGCTAGCCACAATAAGATTCATCCAACTAGGTATATTTCTACACCATAGGAAGGTGCTAACCTTCCTATGGTGTAGAAATATACCTAGTTGGATGAATCTTATTGTGGCTAGCTGGTCTAGTGGCTAACGCGACGGGCTGGAGTTTTGAGACTCTATGACCGCGGGTTCAATCCCAGCCGGGGGTATGGTTTGTTTGCAATCGTGTCATTACGATTTCTTGAGTCACCCTGCCTTGGTGGGAGTCAGCCAGTGTGATAATAAAAAAAAATAACAAACATGTCTGTCTGTCTATTTGTCTGTCTGTCAAGCTCCCTGTCTATCTGTCTATCCATCTAGCCCTCTGTCTCAGAGAAAGCCACAAGACTGCATCATCATGTTTACTCGTATCTTCTAGCAGAGTATAGCACTTTGTCTGGATTTTTTGGGTTATCCTTGGTAATTTACACTATGTATACAGTGGACCCCCGGTTCGTGATGCTATCGGTATCCAATAAATCCGGTATCCGATGCATTATGTAGCAAAAAATTTGCCTCGATTCCCGTTACAAAACCCGGTATGTGATACGATTCGTACGAGACGTGTCCATGTGTGGCCTGAACTGCCCCGTGTGTGCCAGTGTTTACAAGCTAGCCAGTGTGTGCGCATCTAAGGATACATTCGGTACATTCCATATTATCCATATTACCACTGTTTTTGGTGCTTGTTTCTGCAAAATAAGTCACCATGGGCCCCAAGAAAGCTTCTAGTGCCAACCCTGTGGTAAAAAGGGTGAGAATTACTATGGAAATTAAGAAAGATTTTGAAGGGTTTGGGGCTAACCCTGAGAAGCCTAGCCATTGTGGAATTCCATTGTGCCTACTGTACAAAAATTAAGGAATTTTTGCACATGGGTTATGAAACCTTATGGTGAAAATCACCTAACACATGAAATTTGCAAGCCGTGCTGGTGACTATCAAGACAATGTTGGGGAAAACCTTTAAAAAGTCTATGAACGAGGGTAATCCCTTATGGACAGATATGTTTGAGAACCTGCCTCTGTGGGTCCAGTATGTAATAGAAGAAGAATAACCCCAAAAGTCGTTGTACCTCAAGTCTTGAAGTTCCCTCTAAACATATTCCACACTTCCCCTCTCAATCCCATCAATCATCATACCGATCTTCTTTAAGAAGAGTCAATTATTCTGTATTTTCTATTTTTGTGTTATGTAATTATCTATGCATAAACTTGATATTCATGTGTAATTTTTATTCCAATATTTCCGGTTCCACTGATTATTTGATTTCCATTATTTCTTATAAAACAGATTGTCGATAATTTTGTTTGATAGCTCTCGGGAACGGTTAATATGCCGAACCGGGTGTCCATGTTTTAATAGTCTACCTGAGACAGAGACAATAGAAAGAATAACAGAGACAAAATAGAGACAGATTGGAGCTAGACACAGCAACAAATGAAGCCGCCAGCAGCTGGCCCCAAGGAAAAGACAGTGCCCCCTTAAGATTAAATAATGTGGCAAGAGGGCTATGATATGCAAAATTTAGGGTAATGAACCCCTAAGAATAGGGCCAATTTGAATCCGTGCAAGTGCCAAAATTGAAAAAAAATTTTTTTTGAACCACATGAAATGTAAAATACACACAAACTGAAAAAGCTGCACAATTAAATGACACTTATTTTTGAACATCTTTGTGATAGATTGAATGGGATGGAGAGGTAGGCTTATGTTTACTGTTTGTGGGAATCCTCCTTTTCGCATTAGAACATTGAGGTAGAAGTCCCCGGGGTTGCTCCCTCCAATGCCATAATGGAGGAGAGTCATCCTCGCCACTAACAATAGTGTCCATAGCCCTCCTCCCTCCTTTCATTATCAAGATCCATTAATGGAGAGTCAACATTTCATTGTAATTGACGGCTTTGCAAAATGTGTAGTGTATTTATTATAGGTTTGCATTAAACTTCACACATTTCATTTTGGTAAATTTTTTTTTTCCCAACTGGTTTGGCTGTCGGTTGCCCGATCAAAATCTTTCCCTTATTTTCTTATAAAATTCACTCGCTTTTCCATATTGGTTGATGAGCTTTCAGGGCCATGGATTATTATCCGCAACCGGGGTCCACTGTACTTTGTATTGATGTTACCTTAGAAAAAGAGGCCAGATTACGACAGGGATAGACGCCTGGACGAAAATGAGACAGGAACAGTATGCACGGCAAACAAATTTGGAGTAGGCAAAACCGCAGTGTGCCATCAGCCGGGGTCCACTGTATTATGTTTCAGAATTGTTTCTCTTTACTTAGGACAAAGGTTATAAGACATTCTGAAAGGGTGTTGCACAAATGTTGCACGTGGGTTATCGAGTTTTTTTTAATATTTCCTCGACCACTTATGGCTACATCCACCTCAAAGCCACTAAACTCAGGGTCAACATCACTTTCCTCTTAAAATGGCAGAGTTAACACTACATGAAATCAGTGAATCCCAGGTGTTTGCCACGCTGTTTGCTCTAGCTGGTGCTCATTTGAACTGGTGCTCCCACAAGGTACTAAGTGGTCCCAGATTTTTTTAATACAGTGCACACTGACTGTTATGACCCATTCTATGCTGACAAGGCATCTCAGGCCAATCGTGTCATATCCGAAGGCAGGAAAAATTAAAACTGTATCAGGGTATACAACAAATTCTAATCACACAATAGAGCAAAAATGTAATGTGAAGGACCTGAGAGTACTAATGTCAGAGGATCTCACCTTCAAAGATCACAACAATGTATCTACCACATCTGCTAGAAAAATGATAGGATGGATAATGAGAACCTTCAAAACTAGGGACGCCAAGCCCTATGATGATACTCTTCAAATCGCTGGTTCCCTCTAGGCTGGAATACTGCTATACAATAACTGCTCCCTTCATTAAGGCAGGCAAAATTACTGACCTGGAGGGTGTACAAAGAGCTTTCACAGCACACATAAGTTCGATAAAGCACCTAAATTACTGAGAACAGTTGAAGTCCCTTGATTTGCATTCCCTGGAATGCAGGTGAGAAAGATACATGATAATACATACTTGGAAAATCCTAGAGGGATTGGTACCAAACTTGCACACGAAAATCACTCCCTACGAAAGCAAAAGACTCGGCAGGAGATGCAACATTCCCCCAATGAAAAGCAGGGGTGCCATGAGTACACTGAGAGACAACACAATAAGTGTCAGGGGCCCAAGACTGCTCAACTGCCTCCCAGCATACATAAGGGGGATTACCAATAGACCCCTGGCTGTCTTCAAGAAGACACTAGACAGGCACCTGAGCAGCCGGGCTGTGGTTCGTATGTCAGTTTGCATGTGGCCAGCAGTAACAGCTTAGTTTATCAGACCCTGATCCACCATGAGGCCTGGTCTGAGACAGGGCCGCGGGGACGTTGACGCCCGAAGTCCTCTCCAGTTATACTCCAGGTATCATGTAAAACAATTACACACACACACACACACACACACACACACACACACACACACATATATATATATTAAGCAAATTCGCTCATTGATGCAAATGTTTTTCATGAACAGTAAAGCTAGATACAAGAATTTCTTTTACACATTTTAAAACCTATGTTTAAAGATTTGATAAAACTAAATATAGGATAACCTTACAGACTGTAGAGGAGATAGGTGTACTGGTGAAATTTTCTTCATGAAGTACAGACTAGCAATACTTGGAAGCAGGTCCATAATAAGGTGACGGTCAGCAAGGTTCTTTGAATACGTTTCAAGACGCTGAAGATCGTGTCCTGATATTATGGTCTTCAACTCTCGCCACTCAATTTCTGTAAAGAGAAAATGCACTTACTAATTTCATTAATATAGGTGCCCATCATGCCTTTGACCAGTTTCAAGGGTTCCATCACTTGAGCTTAATATAGAACTCTCTGGTTAGATACTACGTAGGATTGGGAAGTTTAAACTTTTTCCATGTTATTAGATAGAACACATAATTGTGAGTAAGCTCATGCCATAATCTTTAATATCATGCTTACTGATATGAGGAGGAAGTGTTTGAGCCACATGCCTGACACTGGCACAGACACATAAACCGTTGCCTTCACCAACAGCTTCCCTCCCACATCATACTTTATACATGATATTTATACTATTTTTTCATTTGATACTTTATGTTTGACATATGGTCTCTAGATGCAGTTAGTGTTTGTTTTTTCTTAATGTTTTAAATCCAAAATACTGTCGCAGTTTTTTTTCTCATGTACCGCATGCTGCAGGACCCATTCTCTAATATCTAGACCCAAATTTACACTCACAGCTTACCTGAGTTGAGCTCATGGCACAGTACTATGGCAATGACAGTGACTTAAAACCCATAGCACAATGGCATGGACAATGAAAGGGTTAATTTCTAAGCTGTGAATTCTCTGCATAGTGTAAATATCATGCAGAGAATTCAGAATGCAGATGCAGAGTTACTAAAAGCATAATTCAAAGGGTTTTGGGCATGTGCAGAGGACAGAAAGGGATAAGATGATGATGAGGGTGTACATCTGGAGGTGGAAGGAGGGGGTAGGGGGCAGTTATCTTAGGAATAGGTGGAGGAAGGGGTAAAGGAGGCTTTAAATTTTAGAGGCTTGAGCATCCAGCATGCTTGTGAGCATGTCACAAGTAAATCTAGACAAATGTTTTTAACAGATATGTCACTGGAACATGACCAAGGAAACTTTTATGAAAGGATTCAAGGAAACTAGTTAGCCAGACTTGAATTGTGGCAGTGGATATGGCAGTGTCTGCACTCTGAAAGAGGGATGGGGATGTTGCAATCAAAAGGAAATCAAAGTATCAACACACTTCTGGAAAGACAGTGATTGAAAGGTGGTGAATGTGTTTTTTTTTCTTTGGGTCACCCTGTCTTGGTGGAATATGGCTGTTTAATTAAAAAAAAAATCTAAAGCTGTTCAGATTTATTTATTTTAGTATTTCTCATGCTTTTTATTAGATAAATACAACTTCTCCTCACTTAGTGACGTACTCGTTTACTGACTACTCAGACTACAACGGGCTCCCTGACAAGTATGCATATCTAAATAACGTATATTAGAGCTGATTTCCTCTATTCTGTTTATTACAATATACAGTACACTACTGTATAAACATTTAAAAATATACCAGCAATGTTATAAATGGTGCAAAGGTGACATTAAAACAATATCAAAGATGGATGACACAAACCCACTACCATTATAGTATGTTCTTCACTTGATGACAAATTCATTTACTGACGTGGTATTAAGAACAGAACTCAGTCATTAAGTGAGGAGAGGCTGCATGTTGACGTATGGTATGAAAATACTCGTAATGATATGATTTATCAAGCTAGGAAAAAACTCTCCCTTTTGCCTGCACTCTGTTTAACTGAACAGCCATGTAATATCGACTGAAGCTCTGCCCTTCATAATTAGTATAATTAACCCCTTAACTGTCCAAAAGTAGATCTACGTTTTCTTGCTCAGCTCTCCAAATATTCTGAAAATAAACAGGATTTTTTTACATGATGTAAAAAACAAATTCAGAGTCAGTACTTACAGAGATATAAAGCTGCAAAGTTGGCGCTCGTCACTCACCTGAAGGCAACATGAAGCGCTGCCGCTTGCATATATACCTTTTTTTTTTTTTTTTTTTTTTTAATTTACAGTGGACCCTTGGTTATAGGCAACTTTTTTTCCGTCAAAATATAGCCTTGGTCTTCGTGATTTCCCTTGAATTTCGGTGGTTGTACGGTACATGTCCCAGTGGCCCTGCACACACAAAGCCTCCCACAGACGCATTCAAGAGTCAGTCTGGCATTGTTTCTCGGCAAGTGATCATCACCCCGCGCGTTCATAGGAAACATTTCGTAATAATCCATTGTTTTTTGTATGTGCAACTGTTAACCCTTTCAGGGTCGACAGGCCCTCTCAGAGACTTGTTCTCAGGGTTGGCCAAATTTCAAAAAAAAAAAAAAAAAAAAAATATTATAATTTCTTTTCCCAATCATAATGACACCAAAAGTATGAAATTTGATGGAAAACTTATGGAATTGTGCTCTCGTGAAGTTAGTGGTCTCAACAATGTTTACGCATCGGCGATTTTGCCCACTTTGAGCCCTATTTTCGGCCAATTCCAGTGTACTTGTCGACAAAAATCATAACTATTTTGCTAGAACTCCATTTTTTCTATCGAATGAGAACAAGAAACCACCCATTTACCGATTTCACACAAATTTCAAAAGATGCCAATTTCCGAACAGGGTCCAGAATAAACAAGACAGACATTCCTGGCACTAAAATAACATTTCCTCTGTTCATTAGTCACGTTCCCATGCCCCTCTTACATTCTTTTGCTTTCCACTTTGAATTTTTATTCTCACAAAAAAATAGAAGATTTACTGTTATGCAGACTACTACATTGGTGTAGAAATGGTATAAATATTATCAGCGCATTTGTGAAAGAATATTAGACTCACCAGTTGACGTGTATTGGACGCATAGCATGATTTGTTTACTTTTGAACTTTGGTAAAAAATCGAACATTTCTGCTACTTTGAGCTCAATTTCAAGGTAGTTTTCATTGTAAAACCAGTCAAAATCATCTCAATTTCTGTAATATGTCTTCCATTCTATAAAATGAGACCAGGAAAACTAGAATACAACAATAAATACCATACGAAAATACAGTGCAAATTCGCTGTTTTAATCCAAAAACACGGTCAAAGTTTTTTTTTCTCATTACGCACTGTGTGCTGCAGGATTTTTTTATACCACTCACACTGACCACATAGACCCATTCTTTCATATGTAGGCCTACCAGCTTTCTCTCACTAGATTTGAGGGCGCTAGAATTTAGGTGTACAAGTACTTCAAAAACCCTGGTGCATAAGCCGTACTAGTACGGCCAAAACCCTGAAAGGTTTTTAAATAAGCCACCATAGGCCCATAAAAAGCTTCTAGTGCCAGCCTTTTGGTATAGAAGGCGAGATAAACGACAGAATTAAAGAAAGAAATCATAGAAAAATATGAAAGTGGCATACATGTGGCCGAGCTTGCCAGGATGTACCGGAAGCCCTATTCAACGTTCACTTCCATCGTGGGGAAGAAAAAGGAAATCAAGGAAGCTGATGTTGTGAAAGGGGTAAATGTGCTAACGAAACATATCACAGGCAATCGAAGATGTGGAGAAACTGCTGTTGGTGTGGCTGAACCAAAAACAGTTAGTGGGAGATAGTGTTGTGCAGTCGATAATTTGCAAAAAGGCAAGGCAGTTGCATACTGATCTCATTAAGAAAATGCCTGGAACGAGTGCTGATGTTTGCGAATTTAACCCTTTGACTGTCGCAAGCCCATTTCTGAAACTGTCAATCTACGTTGCAAAGTTTTTTGGAAAAAAAGTTTTTTGGAAAAAAAAAGTTTTTTCTTATGAAATGATAGAGAATTTTTTCCCGATGGTACTGACACCAAAGGTACAAAATTTGGTGGAAAACTTACAGAATTATGCTCCCGCAAAGTTAGCGATCTCGGCGATATATACGCATCGGCGATTTCACTGACTTTGACCCCTATTTTCGGCCAATTCCACTGTTCCGGTCAATCAAATTCATAGCTATTTCTTTAGAAGTCCATTTCTTGTGCTCAAATGAGCACAAGACACTGCCCATTTACCTATTTCAACTACCTAATAAAGTGGCCAGAAATTGGCAATTTGGCCAATTTCATGCAAATTAAAAAAGATGCCAATTTCAAAATAGGGTCCATAATAAACAATGTAGACATTCTTGGCACTAAAATAACATATTCTCTGTTCATTAGTCATGTCTCCAGGCCTCCTCTTATATTACTCTTGCTTTATATTTTGATTTTTTATTCACACAAAAAATTAGAAGATTGACTATTATGCAGACTACTGCATTATTGTAAAAATGGTATAAATAATGTCAGTGCACTAGTGAAAGAATATTAGACTCCCCAGTTGACGTGTATTGAACATATGGTGTGATCTGCTTACTCTTGAACATTGGTAAAAATCAAACATTTCCACTATTTTGAGCATCTGGCAGCTGGGGTGGGTCGGCTGAAGCATATCTCTGAACAATATTTGACGATACTCGCGGCGGCAATGTGCCATGCAGGCAGCATCAGTTTGAGTAACCCTGTCCTATCAGCAACATCATACTGTATTAACTGTACTAACTGGGCAATAAATTTCAACATGGCCCCTAAGATGAAGTCTGAATCTTGCACTGGAGATTGTGGCAAGAAAGGCTCTTACTCTCGAACTCTCTATTTGTTTTCACTATTGCACATAAACCTGTCTGTATCTGTCTTCGTATATATCTGTGTCTGTCTGTATCTCTGTGTGTCTGTTTATCTATCTTTCTGTCTAGTCTACCTGTGTGTCTGTCTTTCTGTCTACCTGTGTGTTTGTCTTCCTGTCTACCTGTGTGTCTGTCTTTCCGTCTACCTGTGTGTCTTTCTGTCTACCTGTGTGTCTTTCTGTCTACCTGTGTGTCTTTCTGTCTACCTGTGTGTCTGTCTTTCTGTCTACCTATGTCTGTCTTTCTGTCTGTCTATCTCAGAGCTGCTCATTAAGAGTGTAATTGATATTGAAGACGCTACATTAACCCTTTCAGGGTCTGTGCCGTAGATCTATGGCTTTACGTTGAGGGTCCAAACCGTAGATCTAGGCCATGAGCTCAGCTCACTCTGATAAGCTGGGCCTAGATATGAGAGAATACATCTATGTGGTATGTGTGCACCACATAAAACAAATCCTGCAGCACACAGTGTAT